ACTGGGTTGGGAAAGACAGTTCATTCAGTAAAGCACTTTCCACACAGACTTAAGTACCTAAGGCCACACCCTGGAGCCACACAAAAACAATATTCAGCACGGTCCTGGGCACTAATGCTGGAGACAGGAATCTGCTGACCTCTGGAGCCTGTTCACCAGCCTTCCTGGGTTCATCTTCCAGCCCCAGGTCCCAGTAAGAAATCCTGTCTCTATAAAACAAGATGGACAGCTCCGGGATGGGGGTGAGGGGATGACACCCAAGGCTGACCTCTGACCTCCATCCACTCATGCACCTGAACACAAAACACAGAGGGAGAGACCAAAAATATCTATAAACTCTTATGTCTTGCATTTTCTACTTAAGGGTTCATTTACATCCCCCTTCTCAGAAAACAACTATTTGAGTGCCAGTTTTCTGCTCTGTGTCCTAGAATTGGACCATAAATCTTCCTCTAGGAAACAGCGTCAGACACTTGGAAGCAGTTCTAGAGCATTCATCTGTGTCCTATGCTCCTCTTCAGTGCACAGTGACTCACAACCAGTTAATTACCCAGCATCCCCCTTGCCATTGAGCCCCCCCAACTGCATGGCAACTGCCACAAACTCTATATGAACTGTAGAAAGCCAGGCAGTCCCTTTCAGTGTCAAAGGGCTGACTGCTGAGGAACTGAGACAGAACTTGGGACTGAAACGTTTGCGGTTCGGTGCCTCTGAGATCCAAAGGAACAGGTGTGGGGAAGTGGGTGGAGGCATACATGATCACGTGCTCACACGATCACTGCTTCTCTGCATAATCATGGATAACCTTCAGCTTCTGATCCTCTTTGCCCGTCTTCTGGCTGCTACAATTACAGGTGTTTGACTCCATGCTCAGTTTCCTGTGGTGCTGGGGAGTGAAGTCAGGTCCTCCCAAGTACCAAGCAAATACTTGATCAGCTAAGCTCCGCCCCGCGGCCCACATCTGTTTTCCTGATCCTCCCACGCAGACCCAGTCATAGACTACCAGATATGAGACCTTGGCCAGGGAGACAATTCCTCTTTTAAAACTTCTTTTTAGAAAAGTAAAGCAAGTGCCCTGGGTAGAGGCGAATGGTCTCCAAAAGGTTTTTTTTCTTTCTGAATCGAAAGCTTCATCCGTGCTTGGCTTTCGATTTCCGCTGCCTAGCTGAGCCCTGGGCACTTAGTGGTCCTTCGGTGATGCCTCCTCTGTTTCAAGAGCCCCCAAAATTAAGCCGGATGACTACAGATGAGTTTTTGGTACTTTCCGAAATTAAACTATTTCCCTTGGTAAATTTCCAGCATATGAACTCACTCATCTGAAAACAGGATGTGGCACATGAAGTGTGAGCTCAGACTGCCTGCTCTTTTTTTCTTTACCCTAGGGCAGAAAGGAAGGAGGGGTGGGAGACAGGTGGGACCAGAGAGGGGATCTTACAGCACCCACGTTTGAGAAATGTCACTTCACCAATTGTACTTGAGACTCAGTGACTTCTATATGCAAGAGGTAGATCAGCCATTAAAGCTAGGGTCACAACCAAAACTATGAGGGAACCTGTGAGTTTTAATGTCAAGGACACAAGGAACTCATAGAATCTTTTACTGTTAGAATTCAAAGGCCCACATCGGACTGAGTGGTGTATGACTGAGATTCTAGCACTTGAGAAACTGAGGCAGAAGGATTACCAATTCTAAGCCAGCCTAGACTACATAGCAAGACCCTGTCTCAAAAAAAAACATTAAAAGCAAACGAATGGAAGACCCTTAGAGGTCACCTCTGACCATGCTTGCACAGGTCACAGGACCTCTGACCATGCTTGCACAGATCACAGGGGTTGTGTTTTGAGGGTTCCTGAGACACAATACTTGTCTTCAGGCAGACATCCCCTTACAAGTCAAACCCCAAAAGTCTTTTTTCCACCAGCCTGCCAAAGGCTGCTTAGCAACACCTGCCTGCCAGAAACCTGAAGCCAACAGCAGACCTGCTGTGGGCGGGGATGTACACACCTCCCATGTCCAAAACAAAAGCCCAGCCTGTAATATCAGCACTTGGGAAACTGAGGCAGGAGCATGGCTTAAAGTTTAGTGTCTGCAAGGCTACACAGAAAAACCATGTCTCAAAACAAACAAGCAAACAAACAAACAAATACGGTTAGAAATCAAGTGAGGAACCCAAACCAAATTAACCAGATAAAGAACCACTCACTGACTGTTAGACCACGAGGCAGTAGACATCTGAGTACAGATGGTGTCCTTGTCAGATTGCTGGTTTGCAAAAATTACACCATTTTGTTTGTTTGTTTGTATCTTTTAAACTAAACTGGTATCCTGACATTAAATTCCCTAACTCTTTGGAGTGTGTGTGTGTGTGTGTGTGTGTGTGTGTGTAATACTATGTGTGTCTAGCTTTAAAAAGCATAACCACTTCCCTGCTTCACCCAGTTTTTTTAGCGTCCAATGACAAGATAGCTATACTATCTCACTGCCATCTTCACCGTTCACAGAGATTGACAGAGCTTGCAGGGTGCTGGGCTTTTTACAAGAATCCACTGTGGTAAAGCTTGCTGCTTTTCCGCTCACGCCCTGCGGAATTTCAGCCTGGAGCTCAATGGTGTTTGTGTGCTGAATATCTCCCGTGTGCAGCCACTGAACGAGTGCTAGGAGTTAGCTAGCGCCAGGACCCCAGCAGAAGCAATCCGGCTCTCAGTTTCCTTGAGGGAGGAGCACTCGGCCCGCCCCTAGACGGCCTAGGAAGCCAGCCCAGCTCAGTCCCTCCCGCCTGCCTAGGCCCTGCTTCCTTTGGCTTTCGCCAACCGGGTTCTCTGCCCCCAAGGACGTTCCTGCCGGGTGCGAGCAGGAGGCGGCGCGCAGGTTGGTTGCCCGGCACCCGCAGGTTCCCCAAGTAGGAGCATCTGGATGCTCATGCTGCGGAACCTGCCGGGATTCTCAGTCCCTCTCCCTTCCTGAGCGGTGCCCTGGTCCTGAAGCTGTCACTTCAGTTCTGCCCTCAGCTCTGAGCTGAGGATGTGGCTGATGTGGCTGAAGGAAAGGGGGCGGGCAGACAGGGGGTCATAGGTAAGCGACTGGACAGCGTGTCCAGGCTATGGGCAACATGTGTGCCACGGGCACTGCCACGGAGACGTGTGGAGTGTGGCCCAGCCGCGTTCCCAAAGACTAGAAAGAGGCTGAGTGGGACACCTCTGCTCAGCAGATAGATTCCCCATTCTGGGAACCATGGAGATGGGAGTATGGGAGAAAGGAGTAAGGGAGGAGATGGAGGTGGGAAGGCAGTGAAAGAGACCCATAAAGAGCCACGGAGGTGTAAAACTTAACTCTGAAGGGTGTGGAGGAAGGTGCTGTCATAGAAGGGAAAGCTAGAAGCCCACTGGCCCGTTTCTGATAGGATTGAAACTAGGGCAGGCCCGGAACATTTGACAGCGTGTGGGCCTATAATGGGGTTGAGTAGATTCCCTAGAGTTTCAGCAGCTGTGTGGACGATCTTTTTTAAAGCTTTTACTGCAGCGTGAGAAGAGAGAGTAGATATGGAAGAGGAATTTGGGATAAGAGCCAAGCTCATTGTAAAGCGCAGGTCTGAGCTCAGTCCTTCCTGCCTCAGTAGCTGTAAGGTCTTGAGCAAGGCACTCAACTTATCTGTGCCTTGGACCCCTTGGCTATAGAGTAGGGGGTCTCCAAAGATTGGAGGGAAATACTGACGAAATGCTTGTAAAAAGTACTTAAAACGAGGCTGAAAATGTGGCTCAGTAAGCAAGCACTTGTGCACCTTGGGCTTGACCCCAGTATGGAGAAAAACAAGCCACTTAACTGGCAGCACTGAGCCTGTTGTCTTACTCCATAGCCACGTGGGAGTATTCTAATGCTGATCGCAGGAGCTCGGAGATTTGCAGTCAGTGAGGGGTGAGGGGAATGGGACAAGAGAAAAGGACCCAGTAGCTAGATGGAGCAGAAGGTTGGGTCCAAACAGGAGAAGAAAAGGACATGTGGGGGTGCCGGGGTTTGTTTTTCAGGCTGAGGATTGGATTTAAGGGAATGCCTGTCTGAGAGTAGGGAAGGAGATGCAAGAACATCTTTGCCAATAACCACTAGATGTTCTGGTATCATCCCAGGCATGGTAGACCACTGAGTTTATCTAGACTTCCTATCAGTGTCTAACTTGACCTGACCACCTGAGAGGCTCAAGGAAGCTGATAGATGCAAAAACACTAAGTGCAATCTGCCATTTTAAACTTCTTTCATTGTGAAGAACAAGAAGGGTGTGGCCATCACCTGAATAAATTATCAAGATTTTTGGAGCATGTCACTTGGGCCAAGGCCTCTGCCACACCTTTGCCTACTGTGCTAGCTAGCTATAATTGCCAACTTGGCATGACCTGGGAAGAGAGTCTCAATGGGAGATTGAGACTCAGAAACATTGGGTTGGCCTGCGGGCATGAAGTAGGAGATTGTCATAGTTGAGTTAACTGATGTGGGAACATTCAGCCCACTGTGGGTGGCACCATTCCCTAGGTAGGGGATTTTAAACTGTGTAAGAGTAGAGACACTGCGCTGAGTGCAAAAGAGCAAGCATCCATGCATTTGTTTCCCTCTGTCCCTGACTGTGGATGTGATTTGACTAGTTGTTTAGAGTCTTACCTTGACTCTCTACCCACCCCATCAATGATAGACTTTAACCTGGAATTGTAAGCCAAATAAATTTCCTCTCATGTTGCTTTTTGTCAGGGTGTTTTATCACAGCAAAAGAAATAAAGCTAGAACACCATCTCATTTGATCACCTCAGCAACTGGGTAAAATAGACATTTTTTTTAATCTCCCATTTTACAGATACAGAAAGTGAGGCTCAGGCACATTGAAGACTGTGTGGTGAGTTGGGTGTGGTGAGTCTGACATGGTTAGTCGGGCATGGTGACACATGGTGGTACTCGACTTTATTCCCAGCACTTGGGGGAAGAAGCAGGCAGATCTCTGTAAGTTTAAGGCAAACCTGGTCTACTTAGCAAGTTCTAAGCCAACCAGGGCTGCATAGTGAGATCCTATCTCAAAATAAAAAAATAAGTATTAAAGTACCATATGATGGATCCTTCATCCCATTGCAGACCTGTCTGGGCTCAAAGCAGCATGTATGCACATCTACAAGCCCTATGGCAGTTTGATTGGACTGAAAGGTATACAGAGGTCATTTTGTCATAAGACAACCTGATGCTCTGACACACATCCCAGGTTCGGCAACTTCACCGTGCTGCCTCCTTCTTACCTCTTCCACATTAGAACAACACAGCCCTGGTTTGGCTCCCGTTGCTCCACCACAGGCTGTGCCTCCTTGAACCCCACACCTTGCTTCATTGAGCTGTAGGCAGCCACAGAAGGATTGTAAGGCTCGCAGGAGAAAGTCTGCCCAGCACACAGTCAGCCGTATGTTTTCCACGTTCCCATTTCACGCACTCATGGATCTCCAGTCTGATAGGCTGCTGAGAGCAGACCCTCATGCACCTGGACTCCTCCTCTAGTGCTCTCAACAGGGAAGTGGTGGCTCCTGACCAGACACACAGCCGCCTATGACTTCCTGAGTGGGGCTTGGGAGGAAGACGCTGCTGAGTCTGAGGTGCGGAGGTCTTGGGCTTAAGTGAGGTAGAGCCCTGTTCATTTGTCACCATCATGACTCATGCACAATGCCACAGGCAGGGTGGGGTCATCGGAGGCCTTTCTGCTGCCTCTGGTTGCCTCAGTCATAGACCCTAGAGACCACTTGTCGCAATCCATTTTTTTTTTCGGACATAGAGTAGCCAAGTAACAGTGTGAGAAAGTGACATTTACCTGAGGCCACCCAGATACCCTGGAGGACCCAGAACTTGAATTTTGGACCCTGGGGATTCCCATGAGAAAGGTGAGCTCCATTGTCTCAGAGAATTCTACGTAGCTCAGAGGTACTAGGGGACAAGACCTTGGCCTCTCCACCGAGGGCTCTGGGAGGAGATAGAGGAAGCTAGCAGCAGCCTGTGGTTCTCAGGCAAAGGAACCGTGACCCTGCAGAACCAAGCCTACTCTCTTCCTCTGACTCTGTCTCTTGCTCTTTCTCACTCTAAAAAACGTCTGGACACTCCTTAAAGTTTTCAGCTTCTGTCCAGGGGATTTTTTTAACCACAAAGGGTAATTCCTACTCCACCCTTACTTTGACTCAGCTATGACGTCGTACCACACAAGCCAGAGAGAAGATAAAGTCACCAGAAAGGGTAGCCTGGGGCCAGAACCCACCTCTCTGTACAGACTCCACAAGGCTGGCCCTCTGCTCTACTTGACAGACCTTCAAGCCACCTGAAACCCCAAGATGGCCTCCAGCTCAGCCCCTGATGAAAACGAGTTTCAATTTGGTTGCCCCCCTGCTCCCTGCCAGGACCCACCGGAGCCCAGAGCTCTCTGCTGCACAGCCTGTCTCTCTGAGAACCTGAGGTGAGGGGGGCAAAGAGCCAAGGGCCGGAGGGAAAGACTGCCAGGGAGAAACCCCTGTTGGGATACAGGGCTGAAGGGAACTGATGACTGTGAACAGGTAACTTCACCTCTCTGGGCCTAAATTTCTACACTCTTTTCTTCTGAATACTGCCCCCACCCAGGGCTGTGGGTGGATGGATCAGTAGCCACAGAAAGCTGTCAGTCACCAGGCGGTGGTGGCGCACGCCTTTAATCCCAGCACTTAGGAGGCAGAGGCCGGCGAATTTCTGAGTTCGAGGCCAGCCTGGTCTACGGAGTGAGTTCCAGGACAGCCTGGGCTATAGAGAGAAACCCTGTCTCGAAAAACCAAAAAGAAAAAAAAAAAAAAAAGAAAGCTGTCAGTCAGTCCAACTACTTTTAAGGTAGAACTTTAAGCATCACTCAACCACTTACTGTGTGGCCTGACTGTGGACCTTGTATGTCTCCAAGCCTCAATGTCTTACCTGTGAAGCTGTTTTCTGCCTCACACAATTGTTACAAGACTCCATCAATAACATTCCTAGAACTTCTTACAATAATGTGTGGGCCCCCTTGGCAAATATCAAGCTGTGAAAAAACAAACAAACAAATAAATAAACAATGTTGTTTTATTAGACCCAGTTAAAGGGAACAAAGATACGGTAGGATATACATTTATGCTTAAAGAATAAATAACTGTATCAATAGCAGAATTAACACCCTGCCTTGAGCAATTGCTATGCACCTGCTGTGTTCCCTGTCCCCGTGCCCTCACACCACCTTGCGGAAGGCAGTACAATCACTGCTCTATTGCATAGATGAGAACTCCAAAGTCTCCCAGAGAGATCAAGTCGCCTTGCCTCCTGTGACTTTCCTGGTGAAGATATTCCTAAATGGCTTTGAGCCACAATCACAATCTTTACTTTGGGACATTACCGTGTAAGAATGTGAGGAAACTGAGTCAGTCAAATGAGAAGTCCACATTCGGTGACTGAGGGCAGGAGGCTGCAGGAGCAGGGCCGGAGGTTGTGGCTGTGGAAAGGCCAGGGGCAGGGGAGGAGGCCACAACTGATAGGTTTCCTGGCCAGCTGATGCTCTGGGCTCATATCGGGTTCCTTGACCCACAATCCACTGAAAACCTAGCAGAAGAGCGAGCAGAAGCTGCCTGGAGCGTGCAGGCAGGGCCCTAGCCTGAGGTGCTCTGCTCTGGATTTGCCTGGATATCCTATAGACTCTGTTTCCTCACCTAGAAAGTGGTTTGGACACTCACTGTCAGTCAGAGCTATGTCCCATGGCTCTGAGGCTAACGCCCATTTCCAGTAGATAGACTTTGAGTTCTCTTCTTGTTCTACTAATTAGGCCAAGATCTCCTGCCATGGCCAAAAAAGAAGACACCAGAACCACATACAGGGTACTGAGAAAAATATATGGAGCTCCAAGCCCAGAGTCCCTTGCCTAGTCCCTTGGGATTGGACATATTGGGGGGGGGGGTATTCAAAATTTTTGTAAACTTGGAAAAGGCAAGTCAGAGCATGAGTGATACTTCTTCCAGAAGAGACCCTGTAACCAGGCGCTTACATGGGCATTTCTACAGTGGGACAACCACACCATGTAGATGAGGAAGGGACTGTCAGGTGAAGGCAAGTGGAGCTGCAAAAGCAAGCTTCAGGAAACAGTGGATGCCCGGGGCTTCAAAGGCCTTGGCAATGGGCCTCTAGGATCGTGGAGTTACTGCAAGAGGCAAGGTCCATGGCAGGTGGCAGCAGGGTGTGGTACCTTATTTGAGAGACTTTCTTCGTATTTCCCCAGAGATGAAGAGGATCGGATCTGTCCTAAATGCAGAACAGACGACCTTCAGCCTGTGAGCCCAGGAAGCCTTCTGACTCAGGAGAAGGTACGTTAGCATACAAGGAAGAAGGCCTGTCCATCTTTTGGAGATTGATGGGATGTCTCCATCTGTGTGGGATCACTAGAACCCATGTAATAATAGCTCTGTGTGTGAAGAGACACATGGATCCCTGGGGCTCACTGGCCAGCTGGCCTACCCTACATAGTGACTTTCAGGCTAATTGGAACTTTGTCTCAAAAGAAAATGAAAAAAAAAAGTAGGGTAGCTGTCCCCTGAGGATCAACTCCTGAGAAAGTGAAGGAAGAGAGAAGTGGGGAGGGGGGATTCAGCTAGGTATATGCAAAGCAGGTAGTTGCCCATAGGGCCCCTGACTGGTGCAGCTCTCCTTTATCTTGAGCCTACAATGAGTTTGCTTTCTGAGCAAGGCAAGGTGCTCACAGTGGTGGGAGCATATCACCCTAAGACACCTGACAGACTCTGACCCTTTTACAATTGGAACCACCAAGACTAAACTACAGCAGGGGTCTATAACCTCACTCCTTGACCAAATCCAGCCCACCTCCTGGTTTTATATGCAGCCCACAGGATAAGAATGGTTTATATGCTTCTAATTGATGGCAGAAATCACATTTAGGAACTCATGAAGATGCTATAAAATGCAAAGTCTATGTCCACAAATAAAGTTTTATTAGCATTTAGCCACCTTCACTCTCGTGTGTTATCTGTGGCTGCTTTCTCCCTACAGGAGAAGAGTTGAACACTCATAATAAAAACTTCAAAACCCCAAAATATCTCTGGCCCTTGACTTGAGAAAGTCAGCCAGTTCCTGATACAGAGAGAAGCCATTTTCAGATCACCTCTTGTGTGAGCCAAGCTGTGATTCCAGGAGTAGAAGGACCTTTGGAAGGGGCCAGAAAGACATACTTATTCAACACAGCCTTGAAATCTACCCCATCCCCAAGCTGGAAGGACCTTCATGGGGTGCCTGTGTAGCACAGAGGTTTTCAGATCCCACCAGCTCATGACCAAATGACAAAAGTATAGAAATATATTCAGTCTTATAAGTTCAATTATCTCCACTTAGAGAGTTGATCTTTACTCTGAGTGTTTCTTTCCTTTATATTTCTTTGTGGAAATGACATGAAGGTAGCTGAGAGTTTGTGGTAAATCTTTTACTAGATACAGAAAAAGGATAGCAGTCTTCATGCTAATGTCACAATTCAAATCCCAAACAAAATTGTGTGAGTCCAAAAGTCCAACCACATAGAAGCCTCTTGGTTTACATGTGAGAAAGACACGCTGGGACTTTGAATGCCAGAGCTCCTCAGCGGCCAGCATCTCTGCTTGGTCATCCTCTCTGTCCCCACGGTAAGACAAATACAGGCTGCTTTTAGCCAAAGCTCCCTGTAGCCTATAGATCTTCCGTGTGCAGGGATGGGTTTACATCCCTTGGTGTGTGGCTAAAGGCAAAGCTAAACTCTATTTCTCCCTTGGTAAAATGCTTGGAGATGCTAAGTTGATTCTAGAAGGTTCTTCCCAGGACCTGTGACATCTGAGTCATAGGTCAACAGCTGCTAGAACTCCCCTTCCTCCTACCCATTGGTCCAGATGTAGTAGGGGTTCCACACCTATCCCCTTCCTCTGCACCAGTCCCTGTCATTCAGAGAGTGCAGGGACTTCCTGCCCTGCCCAGAGCTGACTGAAGGGCTTTCCCTTCTATTTCTCAGCAGCCCTCTCCACCCCTCCCCACACACCCCCAACCTCTGGTGGACTCTCAGACAATAATAAGGGTCAGTTCATTTCCATGGAAGAACTTCTGAGTCTCCCTGTTTGGCTGTCTTTGGACCAGCTACCACATGGGAACAGACCTTACTGTGGGCCTCTGTGCCCCATGAGTACAGCACAGGGAATAGGCTGTATACTTTCCAAGGCTTGTTTAGTCCTTTCCTTTCTGGAAAATTAAAACACACCACTTATATAAATGTTAGGTAACACTGGCCAGATATACTTTAATGCCACTTAATCTGGCAGCTTTAATATTTTCGACTTTATGAAGATAAAACCCAATGCAAGCAGGTTTGGATGGAAGAAGCACGGGGAGCCAGGTCTCTTACCTAACCCATTTTTTTTCTCCTTCCCGAGCCTGTAAGAGACTTGAGGGATGCCCAGGGCTCTGCAAGGGCACAGGTTGAAATTCACTGCCTTGAAATGAACAAAGTAAAAGGCTGGAGAGATGGCTCCGTGGTTAAGCTTGGTGGACCACAGGCTAGTTACAGCAGGGATAACTCTGCTCCTGCCCCTGATGGGAACTTTAGAGGACTTTTGACCTAAGGAAAGTGACTAATACTAAGCCAGTCCTTTCTTCGCATATGGTCACATCCACAATTGTCTGTGTGTCTGAAAGTACTTAGAAGATAGAAACTGGGCAGGGAGGCCAGGCTGGAGAGTAGATGAGTTCAGTCCGAGGTGCCTATCTCACACACCCTCTCCACATCTCCGCACCAGCTACTTATCAGCCTGTTATTGTCATCCTGAATGCATGATAGATCAGTATTTCCTTACTAAGGGCCCAGTTACCAACATAGCAAGCAAATATCAGAAGGTCAATGATAACTTAGTTAAGAGGGGCCATTCTCGACTGGAATGATCTTCCTGAACAATCGACTGTGGGGTAGGAGACAAACCAGGGGCTTGGGGCTGGGGAAGGGCTGGGCAGATAAAGGGTGCCTACTGTGTGAGTATGGGGACCCATGTTCAAATCCCCAGCACCTGTGTTTTTTAAAAAAGGGTTGGGTTTAGCCATGCATACCTGTAACACCAGCACTGTAAAGGATAGAGACAGAAGGATCACTGGAGCTTGTCTACCAGCCTAGCTCTAGTTCAGTGAGAGACCCTGTCTCAAGAGATGAGTCTCAAGGTGGAGAGTGGTAGTGCAGGTATCTGATGTCCTCTTCTGCTCCCCATTGACACCTGGGAGCACACATACAGCACACACACACACACACACACACAAATCGGGAACTAGAAAATAACATTTGATTCTTTTTGCTGAGACCCTCCACCCTCCACTCCCCACACAGGAAACTGTTTCTCGCACTTTCTTCCCCCTGAGGTTCAGTCAAGAAGATTGACTGTGGCTCAAGATAATGCATGGCTTTTTCTCGAGCCTCAAATGACAGGAATTTAAGCCGTGAAGTCCAACTTCCAGTGTGTACATATAGTGGGCTCCTGCCAATGGGGTTATGTCTAGGAAATATGTGACACTATAAAGCGACCCCCACACCCATATATTGGGTTCTGGCCACAGCACCGACTCCTTTTTTATTTGTGCTGAGCTGAAGCAGACTTCCTTTGAGGAAGGCCAGTCAGTAGCCTGTTCTTAGGGTCCCAGTGTGTGAGTAGACACTAAATCATGTCTCTCCTGCATCTTTCCCCTGTCTCTGTATCTGTGTTCTCTGAAGTGTGATAACCAGTGTGAGCTCCCCGTCCTTACACTCCTAAACCGGGCAGTTCGCATCTATAATCTTGGCAATTCAGTGGCATCCTGGCGGTCCTGTTGATTTATCATCGATAGGCATTATATCAAGGCCCAAGGCAAAGAAGCTGCTGGTATCTCGATCTAAATCATGGGGGAAAGCTGTTCTCCAATGACCTGCTTCAGTCACCCGTGACATTTTCTTCATTTCAACCTCAAATAGAAAATCAGCCCCAAATGCTTCATACATGACATATGAACCTGGCAGGAACAGTCATGGGAGACAAAGACTCTGTAGACACAAAGGCTCCTGACGTGGGGGAAAGTGCCCTAGACTACCTGGGTGTACACAGAATAACCACAGGGGCCTTGTGAGAAGGAGACAAGCATCCTCAGGAGATGGGAAGGCGATGCTGACACTAAAAAATGCAGAGTAGGCCCACCAGACCAGGGCTGCATGCAGCCTCCAGAGGAACACGCCACTGCCAGCATGTCCTGGTAGACTTCTAGCCTTCAAAACCATGAGATTGTAAGTGTGAATTGTGTTAAACATGTGAGGTGTGTTTTCACACCAAGAGGCAACCACTGCTAGCACATATGTATAGTCTTCTGATAACTGTAAGATGGGTTAGGGGTATCTCATTTTGCAGATGGGGAAACTAAGACATGGCAACTTAGTAACTCTCCCAATGTCATGACAGCAACAGTAATACACACATGCACATGCACACACACATACATATACACATACACATATATATACAGCATGCCTCTGGAGCTCACACCCCTAGTGCATCATAATGAACGGGTGACTGGTGACCAAAGCTGGCAGCCTGGCTGACCCTAGTGCCTCAGATCTCTTGAGTCACCCTGCCCATCTTTCAGCATTAGTGGCTACTCATAGTAAGCTCCTGTGCAGGCCTCATCATTGGGGTGTGCCAGACATCCATGAGACCCACAGCAGGCTGCCCTACCCACAAGCCCTGCTTACCTGGGGGTACATCCCACTGTGCAGGCAATGTCTGAATTCCAGTGTTAGCTATACCTCTTTCTTCTCCTTATCCATCTGAGCACTGTCAACTTCAAGCCAAGGGTGAGGACTGTGGATGTGAAGGAGTCATAGAACCTTAGAGGGTCCTAGGTCAGACATGCCTGCATCCCTGAGCCACATATCAACAGCAGTGACCTGTGAGAGACACTTAACTGAGATGGATTCCCAGAGCCAGTGTGTCTCCCTGATGTGGCCACCCTCTGCTTGCTCCCATAGAACATCTGTTTCCTATTCTTGGTTGGGAACAGCTTGTCTCTGCAAACAAAGGGTAGTAGGGCAGGTGGGTGGGGCTTTGCTGGGCTAGGCTCTGCATCCCAAACCAACTGCATGAACCAGCTGTGAGAAAAGCAAGTCCTGTGACCTCCTGTCTGCTCAGCCTGAAGCCCTCTGGCTCCCCTCCTTCCATCTTAATCCCCTTTGATTATTCTGTCAAAACAAGTTCTCATAGAGTCAAGCTATTATTTACATGTAGGAAAAAATGTGCTCATTTTAAGTGTACATTTTGATGAAGTCCTGGTTAATGTACAAAATCAGGTGAGTCCCCACTGCCAAGAAGACAAATACTTCTGTCCTACAAAGAGCTGGTCATTGACAGCACACACAACTCCTCCAGCCTAGCATCAGGCAGCATGTCTGCTGTCAGTCAGGACCACAGGGCTTCTTCTGGACTTCTTCAGAAGGATATCCTGGAGTAGGAGGTCTTTTAACACTTGACTTCTTTCCTTTAACACAATAGCTTCAAAGTTCCTCCATGTCATAGCCAATGTTAATATTGATTCCCTTTGATGTCTGTAGAGTTCTGTAGGAAGTAGATACTTTTTGTGATCCATTTGTGGTCCATCTTGTGACTCCCTGGCTGTTCCCAAATGGTTTCCAGGTTGGGGTACACCTGCCTTTTACTACTTTCTCCCACCCTTCTCCACCTCCTTTCTTCCACTCTTTCAACCCCCTAACGTTAGATAGGAGAAAAAAAAAGGATAGAGAGAAAAGGAAAGAGATCCCTGAATAAGGTCAGGAATCAGAAAGGGGGAGATGTTTTTTGTTAGACTACTTCCTGCTGATTAGGGGTGTTAAGTTCTTTGGAGCAAGTTTGATCTTGCTGGCAGGATATCTAATTTCTTTTTTTCTTTTATTTTCTTTGTGCATGACTACTTAACAAACCATGACCAATAGCAACCAACCAACAACCCACTCCACTTCTCCAGGCCCTAGGATTTATATACCCTTTAAAAAGTCTCCAGAATTCCAAATGTCACACAATATCAGAAATTATCTGCAGCTGGCAAAATCACGCCTTTGCTAGAGCACGAGGGAAATCATAGTCAGTTACCTGGACAATCTGACAATCTGCGTGGGCGTGCCCCCATACCTAAGATTAAAATGAAAATATGTTAATATTCCTATGTTTTCTTAAAGAAATCAAAATGCCAAAATTGTCAGTACATTGGGATTGTTGTGAATTAAGTTGCTGTGTGTATTCACACACATCTCTGTGTAGACATGAGTTTCTTTTTCTCTTGATGAAGCTCCTGGGAGTGGAGTATGGTCAATTGTGACTTGTCAGCAAGTGATTTAAGTAGGGCTTGGCTTTTTATAAAACACTTCCTTGGGGCTGGGAACATAGCCCAGTTAGTAGAATGCTAATGTGGCACACAAGGCCCTGGGTTCAGTCCCCTGATCCTATACACTATGACTGTGCTACATGCTTACTTACTCTTGGCATGCAGGAAGTGGAGGCCAGAGAATCAGAAGTTCAAAGCTAGCTGAGTATGGTGGTTCATGGCCTAGCCCCAGCACTTGGGAGATGACAGAGCCAGGAAGATTTCTGTGAGTTTGGGGCTACCCTGTTCTTCATAGTGAGTTCCAGACCAGCTGGGGCTAAGTAGTAAGGCCTTTTATAATAATGATCATGAAGAGGAAGAGGGGGAAGGGGAGGGAGGAGGGAGAGGAGGAGAAGGAGGAGGAGGAGAAGGAAGTTACTTCCATAAGTTTTCCACGGTGTCTGTCCTGGCTGGACCGGCCTTGCTGTCCTTTAGTGTCAAATTTGGAGTTTTGGATTCTTTGAAAAGCGCAGAGATATTATAAGAATAGGTTTTCATTTTAATCCCAGGTGTGAAATACGGGGCTGCTTTAGATCGTTCCCAGCAGTTGTCTGTGATTTGCCTCATGCTCTCACAGGGGTGTGATTTTGCCAGCTGCAGATAGTTTCTGTGTGATGCTGGGAACTCTGGGGACTTTTTAGACAGTATGTAAATGCTAGGGCCCTGAGAGACATGGTGGGTTGTTGGTTGCTGTTAGTCATGATTTAAGTACTCATGAGCTAAGAAGAATCAAGAAGAAATTAGATATCCTGACAGCAAAGATAAAACTTGCCTCAAGGAACTCAACCCTCCCTAATCAGCAGGAAGTAGTCTAATGATAGCATTGCCCCTTCCTACCCCTGACTTTCCAGAATCTCTTTCCTTTCCTCTCTATTATTTTTTGTCTCCTATCTAGTGTCAGGGGGTTGAAAGGGTGAAAGAAAGAAGAACCCACAAAGTAGCCAAAGGGCCACCTACAGCACATTCCACTTTCACCTGCCTCTTTCTGTGATGTATGTGCTCAGCATTCTGAAGCTGGAGAGTGAGGGTTAGCTCCATTTTGCTGTGTGTCTGTGTACAGTAGGGCTCTAGTCCTCTTTCTGTAGAAGGGTTGAGACTCCTAAAGTGGAACAAAGTAGGCCAGGCAGAAGGAAAAGAGTGGGTCAAGTCTCGTACCTGACCAGTTCTGGCCTTGTTGGTTCCTGTTGCTTTGAATGAGTTCTGGGGATGCCTCCAAGCCTCCAGTGACACAGTTATCATTTCCAGGTTCACCCTGATATAGCTGAGGCTGAAATCATGTGTCCCTTTGCAGGTGTTGGCTGTTCCTTCAAGGTAAGTGACAGTATCAAATCTCTCCTTGGTCCTAGACCCTGTGTCTCTCACTCTCCAAACCTTCCCAAAACACAAGCCACTCCTATGCTAATGAGCTACCAAGCAACAAACCCCACCACTATGTCATTATTGCACCATGGGAAGCGGTTCTCACCTAAGCTCTTGTTGAAGCATCACTCAAGTGGCCCCCATGCACACCCCTCTCCATGGTCCTGAATTGTCATTATGTTGAAAGATGGTCACAATAGTGACTGGATTCATGATGCTCCCTGTGGGCACATCTAAGGACTATATTCCTGCACATGGCTCTACTCCACCTCTACTATGTACAGACAGCTACTTCCCCTTTGCTGGGATAGTGGATCTGGCTTTTGTTTGGTAGCCATGTCCCCTTGCTTGTCCCCAGGGTCTCCTACTTCTCTGTTCACTAAAGAGCCTCACTCTCTCATCAGGGAAGCTCACAGTCCATGCAGGAACACGAGGCCACCTCCCAGTCTTCCCACCTGTACCTGCTGCTGGAGGTCCTAAAGGAGTGGAAATCCTCACCAGGCTCCAACCTGGGCTCTGCGCCCATGGCACTGGAGAGGAACCTGTCAGAGCTGCAGCTTCAGGCAGCTGTGGAAGTGACAGGGGACCTGGAAGTAGACTGCTACAGGGCACCTTGCTGTGAGAGCCAGGAAGAACTGACCCTGCAGTACTTCCTAAAGGAGAAGCTGCTGGCTCAGCTGGAGGAGAAGCTGCGTGTGTTCGCAAACATCGTTGCTGTCCTCAACAAGGAAGTGGAGGCTTCCCACCTGGCACTGGCCGCCTCCATCCACCAGAGCCAGCTGGACCGAGAGCACATCTTGAGCTTGGAGCAGAGGGTGAGTGAAATGGGCATGTTTTCAGAGTCAGCATGCCATCCAGCCTTCTCGCCATTCATCCCTCTCAAAGCAGTTGCCACCATCCAAGACCATTTCCTCTGTGTACCAGGACCTACTATTAAGACCCTGAATCAGAAGTTTGGGTTAAAAACCAAAGCCCCACTCTCCAATGCAAATTAGGTCTTCTGCTTTAGAATTCACGGGGAACTCTCCCTCCATGGCTCCCTCCCTGGCTGCTCATCTCATTGTTGACCAGTGTCTTCACTTATAGAATTCTTTCCACTAGGCCGTGTCTTCCCTATATTTGTTCCTGGATGTGCCCTTCATGGCCTGTGGAACAACCTACATCCTCTTCCCCATAGCTGCTCTGGACGGATAGTCAGTGCTTACATCCTAGCAGACTGTTTCCTTCCATGCCTTTACCTGCTCATCAGTGCATGGTGGGCTGTGATGTCCTGTGATGTCCTCTTACTCTCTGTGTCTGTCTCTATAATACTCCACATGCAGACTGTAGTCCCAGACTTGAGCTGGTAGTTCTCAATCTACCTCCTTTATTCCAGAGACTATACTTTCCACAATGTAGCCAGTCACCAATATCCTGTTACTTTTTTTTTTAAAGGCAACATTGCCTCATTGTTTCCCATTTAACTCCGCCTCCCTTTAGTTCCACCTCTACTTAAGCTGCTGAGAAGAGGTGATCCACTCATCTTCTCTCTCGTGGCTGAGGTTTGTTCTTTCAAACTTCTCTGGGTAATCTATTACAAGGTCCCTGCACGGGGCCCAGTGGGCAGGCAGAGCCTCTGTCTATACCATTTACACCCTCACCTCAGTTGAAAAGTACATGCCCTGAGGGCATGGGGGTTTCCATCTCCCCAGACTTCTGGCAGCTGTGCAGGATGCAATGAGTGAACAGAGAGGAAAGGAGCCCACCAGGGGTCGAGGGGGGACAGCCTGGACAGGAGGATAGAAATTGTTATCAGAGCTGTGAAACAATGAGGGAGACCAGCCAGCTAGGACAATGGCTGGAGGCTTTACAGGAAGGGATATGTGGGCTGGGCTCCTGCTGGATGACTAGGAGTTGGTGGCCAGGGGAGCAAGAAGAGAAAGGGACTCCAAGCATGGGGCAACATGCAGTACAAATGCAGGCTCGGGCTCTGGAAGATGCTTAGTCAGGAAAACTTCTTTGGGGCAAATGTATTCCCATGCCCCACTATCCCCTACTGTCCTCCAAGCTGTGTGTTGGTACCTCTGGCTGACCAGCCTTCCCTGCAGGTGGTGGAGTTACAGCAGACCCTGGCTCAAAAAGACCAGGTCCTGGGCAAGCTTGAGCACAGTTTGCGACTCATGGAGGAGGCGTCCTTTGATGGTACTTTCCTGTGGAAGATCACCAACGTCACCAAGCGGTGCCACGAGTCAGTGTGTGGCAGGACTGTCAGCCTCTTCTCTCCAGGTGACTTCTCCTCTTGGGCACAGAGACTGGTAGGAGAGACAAGGCCCTAGGGGGCCTGGGAGGCATGGGGCAAGAACAGCCAAGCTGGATCACGCTGGGGACCCTGCCAGTGATTTGAGGGAGACAGAGACCGTGCTCTGATCCAGGACTCTGAGGAGCGCAGCAGCAGCCCTCTCTCCTCCTGCATGTCACCTGCACTCTGTAAAGAGAAACAAAAGTCAGGTTCTTCTTGAGACTGTGGGATGAGAAGGGGACCTAGGAGCCTAAGTTCAGTGGTGAGAGTGGAGCAGACAGAGGAACTCTCCAGGCAGCATCTGCAGTAGGAGGAGGAGCAAGTCAGGCACTGGGGTGGCTCTTTGTTTCCAGGTCCCTTGCTCAGAACAATGATTTAACAGAGTAGTGACTCAGTAGCTGTTATTATTCACTGACAACAAAATGCTCTTGTGTGTGTGAGAGAGAGTGAGTGTGTGTGTGTGTGAGTGAGTATGTGAGTGTGTGTGTTGTGTGTGTGAGTGTGTGTGAGAGAGTGAGCATGTGTGTGAATGAGTGTGTGTATGAGTATGTGAGTGTGTGTGTGTGAGAGTGTGAGTGTGTGTG